GGCAATGGATGGATGGATGGACGGATGGATGGATGCGGTGTGTGTGTGTGTGCAGTGCGGCTCAGGAGATTGACGTGCTTGAGGACAGCTATGAGCGCAAGAACAAACACAACGACGACAAACAGGCTGTTCTCGAGCAGAAAATGGTCAGTCAGCATCATGATGCAACAAAAACACCCACAGACCCATCCATCCACCATCCTCTCCTCAATTGTCTCTCTGTCGCTCCTTCATTCATTCATTCATTCGCTCATTCGATCAGCACGGTGTCAAGAAGTCGGTGGGTCGTGTGCGCGCCTACATGAAGCGCCGCAGCGACACCGTCGGGCAGCACATGATCCACGGCCGCCATGAGGGGGATGAGGAAGTGGGCGAGGAGGAGCTCGAGGAGGGGGAGAGGGAGAGCGAGATCGACGCGGCCAAGAAGGCGCACAAGGACGACCCCGAGCACATCGAGAAGCAGCTCTCCATGTGTCTCGAGAGTATCCGGCACATGGAAACGCTGCTCGCACAGAGACAGCAGGAGTGAGTGAGTGCGTCGCCTCAGCACACTACACAGCACACATAACACACAACACACTGATGGATGGATGGATGCTATTGGATGCCCTCAACCCCCCTCCCTCTCCCTCTCTCTCTCCCTGCGTCTCTCAGGTTTGACGATGCCGTCCGCCGTGACCGCGAGAATGCGCTCAAGCGTGAGCAGAACGAGAAGCAGCGACGCGAGAAGCAGACACAGCAGCAGCAGAAACAGAAGGATAAGGACGCGGAGGCGGCCGGCGGCGATGGTGGGGGTGAGGGTGAGGGTAAGGGTAAGGACGACGGGCTGCCCGACGACCTGGGTGAGCTGACGGCCATGTACGAGAAGTTCATGTCGGCCGAGGCACAGCAGCAGCGCACCAAAGAGCTGGCCGCTCTGCAGGTGCGGTCGGTGCCTGCGGGGAGTGCCTGTAGCGGCGCTGCAAGACTCCATCCATCGTGTGTGTGTGTGTGTGTGTGTGACAGGTTCAGGCGGAGGATGGCAGCCGCACGTTGGAGGAGCACAAGGCATACCTCACACAGACGCAGGAAGGTGGGCTAAACACTTACTGCTCAGCAACGGTGTGGTGTGAGTGATGTGGTGGTCTGTCTGCCACGCGTGGTGTGCAGAGTGCGATGAGATGGACACTCTGCTGGCACAGCCGCTGTGCTTTGTGTGCATCCAGCAGCAGCCACAAGACGAAAACATGACAATGGACGTTCAGGTGCGGCGAGGGAAGACAATGGGATGGATAATGGGATGGATGGATGGATGCACGTGTGTGTGTGTGATGTGTGTTGTCTGTCTGTGTTGCGTGTGCAGGAGGGTGAGGGTACGGGCGACGGAGGAGTGGAGCAGACGACATGAATGAAATTAGTGGCGATCTGATCTCTAAACACACACGACAGATCAAACCATATCAGAACAGATCGGATTGATCAGAACAGATGCAGCGCACCGACAGACACGGAACAGGCCAGGCCCCCCCACCCTCCATACGTCCAATCGTCAGATCGATCAGCATCCATCGCATGTATGCTATGCGTGTCTGTGCGTACCGTACGGCTGACAGACAGACAGACGGACAGATGAGCGCGGTTGGTGTGCTGTGTGCTCTGTGTGCTCTGAGTGGTCAGTTGACCCTCCATCTGTGTGAGCGTTCAATGAGTGACGTCTACCGATACACACTGACTGACCACACCGTCCGCCGATTGACTGATTAAGTAATCCCCACGTCCGTCCAATGCACACACATCGACCGACATCACTTAGTTGGGGTTGTTGTGGGCGTAGTACCGCTCGAACGATCGCCTGCCATGTGATGATGGGCACACATAGCAGACCACAGCACAACCAACAGCCGTGAATTGGTCCCTCTCTCTGTCACACGGCACGCACACTGACGGACTCACTTGAGGAAGTCGCCGAAGGTCTGGCCGTCGACCCACCTCTCCGCCAGAGGGGGCACCTGCACAATACACACACACACACACACACACAAACGGCTGAGCGGTCGTCATGCAGTCTGCCTGCCTCTCGGTGGCTCGCCTTTTCTGAGGGCTTCTCTGGTCCGATGACGTCAGCTGGTGATGTGCCGGAGGGGGGCGACATGCAGTCGTCCCAATTGGGCTCCATGAAGAGGGCCAAGCTCTCCCTGAGAGAGAGCCTCATAGAGAGGGATGGAGTGGAGGCATCATGATGTGTGTGTGTAGGTACCTGCACGTGTTTGGTGTGGGCGGTGCGCTGACGCAGTGCGGCGTCGCAGCCAAACATCCGCCCTAAATGGCATGGTGACAGAGAGAAGGATGGACCGCTATGCTATGCTAGGTGTGGCGGCCTCAGTCTAGTCGCTTGCCTTACCGTGTGTATCTGTGAGGCCTCTCCGATCTGGAAGCCAATGCACTCCTCGCCCATCGACACCTGACGGGACGGACCCAACGACACACAGAATGCACGTGTGGCTCCCTCCGGCCCCCACCCACATGGGCTCACACACCTGCTGTATGCAGCCATCGCGCCTTTCGACGAGCAGCCCGGCTTTTGTATTGCCGCATGGGTCGGATTTGGGTGCGGCGGCAGCTGGGGAGGGCACCACCTCGCCTGTGACGTCATCGATGAAGATGGCCGGACACAGGGCCGTGATCGTGCTGATGGACAGTACACACAGACACACACACATGCATAGCAATGGGTGCGTGGCTATGACTTGCCTGTTGTCGTTGTGCCAGCCGCACCAGGACGCCTCCAGCCCATTGGCATCGCTCTGGCCACATGAGGCCTGCTGCTGCTGCAGGGGGAAGTAGTGCAGCAGGCGACCCACCATCAGGTGAGACCGACGCAGCCTGACCCACACACACACGCACACTCAGCCCCCCCTCTCTCTCTCTCTTTGTTGCCACTCACGTGGCTTCAAGTCGATCAGGTGGGTATGACGGAGTGCACTTTGCCACATAGCGGTCGCACTGCTTGATGACGAGCATGCCGACTCGATGCATCAGCTGCCCCAGCGCCCTGGCCTTCTCCCGCAGCTCATGCAAGGGATGACCCTCCACACACTCAGGCTGCAGCCATCCCATCCACCACACCCACACACAGACGCTATCGTCTCCTCTCTCTCTCTCTCTCTCTCTCTCTCTCACCCATGTGTTTGGTTCTGCGACGATAGGGTATCTCTCCTTGGTGCTTCGCAGCTCCTCTGCGGACCTGCCGGTGTCAGCGCTCCATGCGTCGAGGGGCGACTCGTGGATGGGGTTGAAGTAGAACGACGCCTTGGCTGCATGCGTGAGTCACATACACACACACACACACGGGGGGCGAGGGAGAGGGAGAGAGAGAGACCGTGGGTGGGTGTGAGCTGCACTCACACACGTCCGTCCTGACCTGTGTCTGGTCTGCCCTTGAATTTCTCCCTCCCACATGAGTACCTACATGATATCGCCAACACAGCCGATGTGTTGTGTTGCCACACCCTCCCTCCCAGACACGCCAGCCCTTCTCACACCGCTCACCCGACGCAGTAGTGTGTAGAGGGTCTCTCCAGTTTCTGCAGCTCCTCTGGCGGAAGCCTAGACAGAAGGCGGGCCTGCACACTCGGACACACACAGACACACACACACAGAATACACACAGAATACACAAAGGGATAGCCCCACACGCACCAGTTTGAGCGTCTTGTGGCGCAGATTCCTCATCTCTTGGACACCAGTCACCACGAGAAGGCCTGCCAACACCGACACAGGCAGCATGGCCATGCATGGCATCACACAACAAATGATCGAACTCATCTCGTCAGTGCACTCTCTCTCCAGCGCATGGTTCCCCTTCTGTGCTCTCCTGTGCAGACGGCGCATGCAAGTCCTCACCGATGCCATCTCTGCCGAAGGCCCGGCCTACGGCATCCGACAGATCTTTGCCAGCAATCAGATCCTCATAGGAAAGGGATTCGATGACCGCCATGGCGAATACGAGAGGCGAGTCGCCTGCGAGCCGAGCGAGGTAATGGACGGATCGTTTCTCTAACCCGTTCCCCCGACGGGGGGGACCTCGTCGGACTCCGAGCAGCTCACGAACAGTAGCGGACCACCGATGTGTGCCTCAATGCCTTCATCTGGTCCCTCTCTCTATCGCTTTCCTTGAGTCTGCAGGCGCTCTGCTGACCTGATTCGTTCGCCGTGTGACACAATAATTATCCATGCGATGGCGTCGGCAGACAGCAAGGATAGCAAGGACGTCAGGGCCATCGTGCTGGAATGCCTCACGGCAGACCCCGCCATGGGCACCAAAGTCAAGCAGGGCGCCTCGGACATCGCCGCACTCAGCCACGACATCGCACAGAAGGCCATGGACAGCAAAGCGAGCAGCAAAGCCCCTCCCACTACCACCAACAAGGCGACCATTGTGAGGCCGGCTGCTGAGGCGCCAGTAGCTGCCACCACGCCGCCCGCGGCTGTGTGTGCGCCTGGCGGTCCCAGCTGGTATTTGCTTGTGCGGCTCAAGGGGGGCAAGGCGTTCGTGGATTATCTGGAGGTGCAGGACTTCCCTGACTCAGTGTTCGTGTTGCACCTGGTACGCACACACGGTCGCATGCACCTGCCTGGATCTGTGTGTGGGTGGCTGTCGTCAGTCTTTCTGGGACCAGCGGTTTCGCTCCAAGCCGACAGCGATCCGTTCAGAGCCCAAGTTTGACGACCACTTCTTCCTTGAGCTGCCCGAGCTGCAGCGGTCGCCGTTGACGACCTTGCTGGGCAAGAAACTCCCACTGCACTTCGTGGTAAGTGAGACGCGCCACCACACCACAGAACACACGTCTGATCGGAAGCTTAAGCACGCCGCACCCCCTCCCCTGTCGCCCATCTCTGACCATCTAAGGGTCCCCATACACTCATGTGTGTCGTGCGTGTGTGTGTACCTGTGTATGTGTGTGTTAGATCACTCGCGAGGACCCCTACAGTGCACACAAGACACGGGCAGCACCGACAGATGGCGAGAGTGTGGCTGGGGGCTCTGGTGCCAGCGAGGCCGGGCACTTTTATCGGTCGACCGTCATCGCATCACAGCCTGTGGACTGGAGGGAAGTGCTGTGCAAAGGTGACGGACTGACTGACTGACTGAGGCCATGAATCCATGTCGCCCAAATCTCTCTTTTTGCACCTCTGCGTGTGTGTGTGTGTGTGTGTGGCTGTGGCTGTGCAGGTCAGATGACGCTGGCGATAGAGTTGCGTGGCGTAGGGGAGAAGGCGCAGCTGAACCTGGGGTTGCTGCTGGTGGAGCTGTCGATAGTGCCGCAGGTGTCCGACGGTGGCGATGGGGATCCGGAGCTGCTGCAGACGAGGGAGGTGGAAACACAACTCTCACTGGAGCTCAACAGAAGGTGCGCGCCCAGCCACCATCCATCCATCCTCCCTCCCTCCCTCCCTCCACCCACCCACC